GCTCAGCTCTCCATTTCCTCAACCCCTGTTCCGCACCCAATTTCCCTTCCATGGCCTTCTCAGCTTTCTCTGTAGCAACTTTCAATGCTTCCTTCCGTGCCCTCATCTCTCCATATGCGTCATCAAGTCTCTCTAAGCTCTTCACCTCAGACTGCTTAGCCACATCAATCTGTGCAATTGCAGCTGCTATTCTTTCATGGGCAAGCTCCTCAGCTTCATGAGCTCTCTTACTGAGATTGTGGTATTCATCCAACGGAAGAGTCACACTGTGAGGAGAATCTGTACCATAGATGCTTGCAGCCTGCTCACTCTCTTGCAGTGCTTTAATTGCCACAAGCGCCATCCTCTCTGATGATCTAGCTGCTTCGATTTCCTTCAGAGCCGCATGTAATCTGATTTCTATTGTGCTTGCACTTGCCTTTGCTTCATCTGCTTCTTCCTTGGACTTTCTTAGTTCCTCTCGGGCTATCTGAGCAACAGACTTTGATTGATCTGCTTCCTGAGCTGCATGTTGCAACAACTTGGGGAGCTCCGCCATCTTCTCTCTGGCTGTTTTTTCCTTTGCACGAACCACTTCTAAATCTTGTTTAGTCCTATCAAGCTCAGCTTCAAGAGAAGAAACTGCTATGGATGCCATCCCTTCCCTTTGTTGCAAGTTGGTAAGAGATGCCTTTTCTCTGTCCAGCTCAGACTTGAGTGCAGAAGATGCAACCTTCAAACAACCAACCTCATCCTGGGCTTTCTCAATACTGGCTTTCACTTCCTCCAGCTCCTTTCTGGTTAAAGCTAATGCATGAGTTATACTCTGCGTTTTCTCTGTTTCTTCGACATCATCTGATAATTTGTTCTCAATACTTTCAGATTCTTGATTCAATTTTGACTCCATATATGCAGTTAATTCAGCCTTGAGTTTGAGTAATAAAGCAGATGCTGTCTCCAGTTTTGATTTGAGATCTTTTGTCAACAAAAGCTGTTGATTAAGTTGTTCCAACTCCTCTTCAGCATGCTTCAGTTCCTTTTCCCATGCAAGACAATCTTGCTCTCTTGCCAATGCTGCACCAATTCGATGTTCTTCTGCTTCAAGATGTGCAGCATGGGCTGACTCCAGTGATTCCTTTCTTGTGATGAGTTCCAGAGTAAGTTCCTCAGCTGTCATCTCAATCTCTTTTAGTGCAGAAATAGCATCTTCAGCTTGTCTTGTTGCAAAATCTCTTTCGCTAACTAAGGACATGTACTCTCCTTGTAAAGTTTTTAACTCAGATTTAACCTTCTTCAGTTCTGCAACTGCTGCTTCATGCCTAGCTTTAGCAAGCTCAACTCGTGTTTTAGCAGCAACACTTGATTCAGTGGAAATTCCTTGCTCCATTTCTTTGACTCTCATTTGGGCCAGCTCTGAGTCCTGTTTTGCCTGAGCCTCTTCAGTTTGGACTTTCTCAAGGTTTAGCTTTAGCTCTTCTATGATTACATTAGTTCTATCCAGCTCCTTAAGTACCTGTGCTTTAATCTCTTCTGCTGCTTCAGATTGTTTTTTGCATTCAGGGATATCTGCTTGCACTCTCTCAAGTTCCAATTGGAGTAGCTTACGTTTCTGCATATAGCGAAATCCAAAGTTCAATTTATTTACAGGTTCAACATTTTAATTTTTTATTTGGAAATGCTACAGTAATGTATAATTGGACTGACCAATTTTTCAGTACTATGAGATAAGAAAATTCCTTTTGAATTAGGAAGTTCAAAGAAAGTGTGTGTTAGCTAACTCCATGTATGGAACACAACTTTTTATTCAACAAAAGATAAGAGCACTGATATTCTATCCACTGCCTATTAAGTGTGCACAATGCAAATGATTTATTGTTTTCATCATCAAATATTGATAAACAAAAACACCATTGCTAGTAGAAAAATTAGTCCCTGAACCCTGAGATCAGAATGAAGGCACTGTTAATACAAAGAACATGCACAAGATGATCCCATCATGTTTGCCTAAGAAAGGAGTACAAGAAGTAAGCTGAAAATCACCAAAGGAATCATCATTACCTCCAAAGAATTTTGCCTGTGAGCTTTCCAATCAACTATGCCTCCAAACTTGGTAACTGCCTCCTTAACAGATTCAAAAGGTGCAGAAGTGTCAACAATGCCTCTATTTATATACACAGTTTTTATAGGTTCAGCAGTTGTTGCCAGTTCAGGCAAAGAAGGTGTGCTCTCCATAATCTTTCTATTTTCACATGAGGTAGTTGAATCAGTAACTCTCGGAGTCTCAACAAGGTTGATAGATGTGCCATTTTGAAGTTGGCTTGGAGTACTTTCCAACTCCATTTTCTGTAGCTCAAATGAATGAGAAATAGGATAAGTAATATCTCCATATGACAGAACTGAAACACCTGAAATAGAATCCCCCAATACATTTGAGATCTGAGGATCAGGTATATTATGGTCTTGTGATGAGATAGCAGAAAGACCTTGTTGAACCGGGCACACAGAATCCTCTAAAATCATTCCCTGCTGGTGATTAGTAACGACAATGTGATCAAGTGTATTTTGGCCCAATGACGGGACATCGTATACGATATGCTTAAGTGATAGCTCCGGCTCCTTAATGACAGCTTCCTTCTGGTCTTTGGTGTCCGGTCTGTCAACATATTCAGCATTATCAGCAATATACTGCTCAACTTTTTTCTTGGCATTTTTTGTAGCTCCTTCTTGATGGTGAATTGTGTCAATGTTTTCATCATGGCATGAAAATTTTGGAGGTCCTATGGTTGGCAGACTTTCTGCTGAACAAGAAATAGTTAGCAGATGTTCTCCAGAGAATTGATCTTCGATGACCTTTGTTTCTTCCATAAACCACAAAGTAGGGTATACTCGATTTCAATTCTGTGTTTCAAGTGAAATAATAAAACATAAAAGTCAGAAAAGTAAGAGAACAAAAAAATATAGCTAACTCTATTAACAAGTGTTTCACAATAGACCAAGCATCTTAACTTGGACGACCTTCACTATTTTCTTAACACTAACACAGTAAATAACCAATTGGACAACCTCCATGTTCTGCACTTTTAGTTATGCAGCATAAAAACCATCATAAAGGGAATGATCCTAAGTAATTTTGTTATACATCTGCTGTAAGGCAAAACTAGGTAACGAGATGAAGTGTAGCAGATAATTAATAAGCCCTGATCTATCTGAGACTCAGAAGATGAATTGGCAAATCATAACATCCATGATACAAGTGTTGAGAATTGTTTCTGTAATTTTTAGTTTCATACTGAACCAATCAAGAAAGACTTTTCAAATAAACAAAATTAATTATGTTAATTACAATTTCCAATACATCATTATGATCAACACAACGAACTGAATCACTAATTGGTTTAAAACCAGGACCATATTTGTATCACTTTGCTTTGTGGATCAGCTCAGTGAGACCTAACTGGCAGAGCTTATGAACAATATATCCAAAAGACGCACAAGGGTAACAGCCGAGGCACGATCTCTCCATTCAAGTTTCTATCTAAAATCATATCTGAAATCCTGCTCTCTTGGCTGCAAATAACGTTAGTATAGTGCAGCAAACGTTCTCCGATCACGAAAAGGGAAAATAAGATGCAAGATTCCTGAGCTGTGAGCCCACTGCTGTCGAGAATTAAGCTGCAAGACACGCGTAAATCACATACCCAAGTACCCTTCGATGAAGTGTCTTCAAAACCAAATCTTGATCGAAACAAAGGGTTGCACGAATTTCCGACATCGCCCAACCTCAAAAGCATCCTTAAAGATCAATATCTAAATCCATGAACAGAAAACCAACCAAGATCCAGCTATTTGTCGCAAAAAAATTCACAGATTCCAGAAAACAGAAGAATCGGCCTTCAATCCAGAGAGAAATCAAGAAACTCCGCACGAACAGTCTACTGCATATTTCACGATTTCTTGAGCAAAACTATCACTTGATCATGAATTTATGAGCTTCTAAACTACTAACTTGAATTCAAGAACCGTCACAAAATCTTGCATTTTCATATCAAGAAGCAAGAGGTACCGGGGTAAAAGAATTTACTCTGTTCGCTTGCGGCGACGAATGATTCAAGAGCAGCTTTTTCCGACACCAGAAGGAAAAGGAATCGAAAAGCGATGAAGAAAGGGAGGGGATCCAACAAAGAGAAGATGCAGGTCACGAGCGGGGGGAGGCGATCCGGTCGCACACCGACTCCATATCTCCTCCCCACAACACACTCCACTCTCTTCTTCCGCTCGTCCTCTCCATCCGATCTCGTCTCCTTCCGGTCGGCAATAATTCACCATCCAAAGTAATATTTTCCTTTCGATCTTTATCAAAAACTAATTTGGTCACTCGATTCTCTTAGCTTGCAGACCCACCTTGACAATTATTGGCGAAAAGTGGGACCGACGAAGACTCTGCTTCTGTCCATCCGCCGCTATCTGCAACTACGAGGCAACTAATTCACCGGGTAAAAATAACGGGTGGAAACCGTAGTGCCCTTTATGTTTTTTATGGGCACCAGGTTGACACCGTGGAGGCGAGTGGTTGACGACAACGCCGCCACATCATCACCCGGTCCGCATAGAGTATGAAAGAAAACAAAGGCGAAACTTACACTTTATCCATTTAAATAATTATGATGTTTATCATCATTATGAGTATAATTGCAACCATTATATAGAGGAGTACGGATTTTATTTATCTAATAAAATTTTGGTTTTTTTAATATAAACAATTTAGTTTTAAAAATAATTAGTAATTATAACAGGTTGTGTCGGTGTCTGGGCCACACGTGCTCCATGTCGGGAAACATGGTAATCCGGTTTGAGTGGACCACGAGACGAACCCCTCATTCTGAACCGGATTCCCTCATTTTTTTTTTGTTGTAATTACAAAAATGACCAACCCAAACCGTTCACCATTTATTCTTTACAAATATATGTATATGTATATATATAAACATATTATGAAAACTTTGTAACCAATATGATGGTGGCATTCTGGAAAGCTTCACTAAGGACTGAATCACTCAGATGATCATAAGGGGGGATTCAAAAACTTTACAACAGGATAAATTCTAATGCCCACAGCTCCTCATAATCCTCATGAATTCCTCAGCATCAACATCTTCATCACCTGCATACCACAAGAACCAAAATCTCAAACTACTACATTATTTTGGACATATCTCATATTAAGAGCTGATACTAGTATACAGGATACCAGTATTCTAAAATTTTCACCTATAGAAAGATAAGTTGATCTGTTTTTATGGGAGTTACTCTGTTGTAAGTTCCCCTTTCAAATGGACTGCCTTTGACTTCTCAAACACTCTTTTTCTCGGTTCAACCTTTTACAATTATCCCTATATACTTCCTTCAACAAGATAAGGCTTATTAGTAAATAGCAATAAAGTACCATTTTAAACTGTCAGCAAGAATAGAAAGTTGACTTAAAAGATAAGATAACATTCAAATAAAGGAAAGTGATTGATATCATCAGATAGAGAAAGATAAGAACAATAATTGTGATGAAATTTCATAACATTACTGCTATATTTCATAAAGGAGCATGTGCTCTCATTAATTTTTCCTTTTTTGCAGCAAGCCCCTATGCATATGATGTACCGGCATAGAGAATGCACGATGGGTATGGTAGCATGCTGCAGTCCCAGTCCTCGACTATATCTCCATCCTGGTTACAGAGGGTTGGTCAAAATCATCTTTTAATCAATCATTAGCAAAACTTCAATGAGAAGTGATTATATTATATCTTCCCCTGGACAGGTCCCAACAAGTTTTAGAATTATCTGAACAAAAGTTTATTACACACAAATAAGATTGCATATTGATAAAGCAGGTAGAATTTTTACATTACCATCCTGGTCAATAATGCGAAAAGCCCTCGTAAGTATTTTGCTGTCCCTTTCTCCAATCTTGGCCTTCATCATGTACAGAAATTCAACAAAATTAATTGCCCCACTCTTATCATTGCCTATTTCAGCCATCAAACAATTAATATCCTGCAATAATAGAGTAGTCTCTTAAGATTATGCATTTACAAGTCATATAAAGTAAAACTGAACCTTCAGGGAACTTCCAGATGGGCATCCACCATAAGGTAAAGTATTTAGACAGTCCAAAATTTGACCCATCTATTAATAAACATGGTGTCTAATCCAACAAGATGAAAGCAATGCTGGTATTCTTCACCAATCAATATAGTAAACCATTAGCCAATACTATAAAATGCATGCTAAAAGAGTCGCATGATCTTGAGGCCATTAGCGCTGTCAATAATGACAAGAAATTTGAAAAAACTATGGGGCAATAATAATCAGATATTTAGATGCACGATAAAAATTTAAGAAAAGAACCCAGAATCAGTTCATTTACTCACCTACCATTATTCATATTGATTAATCATCCCGTCACTAATAAAACAACCAACTAATATTCATAATCTTTGAATTTGAATTATAAAAGAGTTTCACCTTTCCGAAACCACTAACCAAATTCACTTAAGCATGTAATAGCCTGTCAGATGTTGTCAATATAATGATCAATACTCATGAAATAATCATGGGACCTAGCATTGCACATCGGTTTAAAGTTGACATGTTATATATACCTGGTCAGATTCAATTTGGCTAGAAGGATAGTCTAGTGAATTAAATATTGAGACTTCTTATTTGATTGGAATACTTGTTAGATGGGACTAGTATGGTTTTATTTGGGGTTAAGATAGATTGGATATCATCTTTCCAACCAAATGAATAGTATTTCCCCAAAGAAGCAAAACAATATGAGACAAGTCAAGCAAGAAATTGTGGAATGAGCACATAAGACAGAGAGATAAGAGAGATCACTGTTCTAGTTAGTAAGAATAGTGTGATCAAAGAGGCAGACACATGGTCATTGACTTGAGTTTTTCCAACCCACTCACAATCATATGAGCCTTAAAACCTACAAACAGACTTGAGCGAAACTGAACCTTCATCAACCAAGGATATGGATATCCTGGTTAAAGGGGCAATTTGGTTAAGACACCTGCTATCAACCCATGGCATAGCTATAGCAGCCAACAGCTATAGTTGAAACTATGAACCCAAACCTCTTGATTGATGGCAACATCGGTAGTAAAGGGCAAACCTAGTACCTGAGCTCCCGCTGCCAATGGGGTATCTAGGATCGATATATGCATTCTTAACTTTTTACATCAAGGCCGTTTCCAAGATGGCTACATGTATAGTGCAGAGCCTAAATAGAGGCTTCTACAATCATTATTTACATAATGGCGCTAAACAAAGAAACTTTAGGCAAATGCAAAGCCTCCTTGTTAGTCGTTCTTTTACTCCGTATCCAAAACTCTACTTCTCTCCAAGACTTTGTGATAATTTCAACAACATGTTCAGTTTTAGCTGAGGAAACGATGTCCATTATCATTTGGCACATTCTTTGCATAATGAAACTAGTTAGTTATCTTAATTCTATTTGATAAAGATCCTATATGACGGACATGGTTGCCGGCAAAAGGAACAAACAAAAGTAAGCTATTAGCATTCTTGGATAAACAAGGAAAGCGCAGGGATGAAGAGGAAAACCAACCGTAGTCAACGTCTTCTGTCACTTCAAACCCCAGGGCCCTGCAGACACAGAACTAGGGTCATAATTTAGGGAAAGGAAGAAGCAGATAATAGAAAATCCATACATACCAGTTAAGCCACGTGATATTAGTACCTCATGGCGACATTCAGCTCCTTGGCGTCAAGGCTGCCTGCCAGACAGATTAAGAGGGTCAATGCGACAACGAAGAAAAAAGAAACCCAAAAGATTATCAGCGTCCATACCAGATCGATCGGTATCGATATCTCTTGCCGCTTCTGTTGGCTCAATCCATGATGGCGGCGCTCCGGGCTTTTCCTTCCTAGACCTCATCCTAGGGTTGACACTTGCCTACACGACCAAGAACATACGATTCTTTCAGTTACGATCCAACACAACATCACAATGCAAAGAGAAAGATCCGATTCCCAGTCCCTTCTCAGGTTTTTCCTATCGGAAGAAGAGATCAGAGAAACGAGGAATTCGAGATCACGGAAGAGGAGGACGAGAAGGTGGAGTACCATTAGAGATGAGAAGATTTCGTGCTTGCTTCGTCCCGCGGCGATACCAAAGAACGGGATCTGGGAATTTGAAGGCGTGGAAGGTTTCGATTTGGATTAACGGGTCGGATTCAAAAACCTAATGCATTTCGATCCGATCCGGACCCTACTTTCGATCCGCCACCACTGACCCGAGCCATGTAGATCGGGGCGGAAGCGTAACCAGTCCGGTCCAATGATTAGACCAGGCTGACAGAACCAATTAGCCCGGCCCATGAACTGGCCTACTCTTATCTCCAAGACTCCATCAGCAAAAATTATTAATTGAAGGGATTATTTCCAAATAATTATAAGAGACAACAGGCTGCAATAAAAAATTAGTGAATTCTATTTAGCTTATTTTTATTTAATACACAACCAAGAAGAAATGGGTGAGATGAAAATTGTTGTATAAAGTTTTTTGACCAACATGATGTGAAAAAAATACATTTTGTAAAACCCTATAGTTTGATTTCATACAGAGAATTAAATTGATTTATAAGTCTGCTATCAATAACTTTGTGCAAGCAAAGTATGCAACACTGTGAAAGCAAAGCGTGTAAGATTTAGCAAAACAGCATTGCACTAGGCAAAACAGATCTACCACTACTAGATTGCTATCAACAAGGAAGAATGCTTCATCAACTTGTTCCTCTGGAACACAGAATAATGACTGTTTTAATTTTCAATTATTTTTTGAAGGAAATATATACCATGGTCCCTCAAAATGTGGTACAAGAACATCTAACTGGATTTGCTTTGGCATGGATGATATTTTTTTCTTCTTCCAAATAAGAAATTGGAAACCATAGCGGTAGGGATGGAAGAGCATCCGTCACACAAAAATAACCTCAAATTTTGCGCAAGGATTGCTCTCAACATGTTTCCCTAAATCAGCATCAGTGTCAAATCTAAAGCTGTACAATGCTTGTCTTTGAGTGAGACCAACTGGATAAATCCTGTATATTTTTAAGTTATCTCCTCTTAAGCTTTCTGGTCTTTCCTTCTTCCATAGAGGAGTATGATTTACTGACTGGAACTTGGAGAGAACTGCAGATTCCAATTCCCTGAGGGTTAACCTTCCAGATCTGTCACAATGTAAAAAGAAACTGCTTCAGCTGATCAAAGAGACTCTGGCAAGCTAAGAGAAATGAAATATACTGAGTTTGGTATCTTGACTGAAAGTGCTAAAGTTATTATACAGGGAAACCATCCTTAATATGTAAAATAATTTCAGAGTTAAAAAGACCTGAGGAAGATGGATTCCATGTGAAATCTTCCTCTTTCTCTCACATATAAGTGGTACACAGTTCCTGATCTGGTGGTGCATTTGCAGGGGCGCTTCTGAAACTGCAAAGCCATCTCTTCCTTCTCTCTAATCTTTGTTGCAAGAAATATGCAGAGACGGCAAGATGAATGAACTGCAGCCATGTCCACAAGTGCCTTGAAAGCATCAGATGGACCGTCATATTTCCAACTGAAAAACCATTAGCTATCAGTTGGATTCACTGACAAGTCAACCAAGAAATTGTACATAGCACCAAGTTCCATCAAGATCCAGTCTAATCAGCATCAAAATGGATGTGATCACTGAATCACTTAGGACAACTACTAGCAGAAAATCCTTTAGAGAAACTGTGCAAAGTAATTGAATGACCAAATTATAAAACATAAGAAGTCCTCTTTGAATAGTATTTGAACAATTAGGACAACATAAAAGCATTTCATCAAATGAAACTCTACATTGTAATTTTGATTACAAGATTATTCGAAAAACCTGATTTGACAGAAAAGACTTCAAACATATCAAATGGTCAAGAAGTCTTCTTCCATCTGAGGCTCACTGGCTCACACTGGATAAAAGAATTGGTGCACGATAAAAGAGTTTGTAATGGGAAAAGAGACTCAAGCAACTGCACCACTATAGAAGGCCTGATTCGAATAGTAGAAGCTTTTAAAAGCTTGTGGTCAAAAGAAGTCCATGACTTGTAATCTGTTAAATCACATCTCATGTTTGGTTTTTCAAATTTTTTTGGTATTTTACAAGGTCAAATAGGTGAATTTGGTTCAGTTTGTTTGAATTAAATTTAAGTCATGAAAAAGGAAGCTTAACAAATTGGCACTATTACCAGTTTGGTCTCACAATATAACCTCTATTTCCTTTAAAGAGTTGTTTACTCCAGCAAGGAAAGAGGAAAGTTCATCAATAGTAAGTCATAGTGACCCAAGTCGCCCAACTATTTGAGGTCAGCTACATAAAGCTTTTGTCCTCTTTGAGCATTGGACAAAGTGATATCCTTCGTTTTTTTAAGCAATACACTTAGTTAATTTGCAAAAAAATTAAAACAATTTGTCAATTGTCATAGTAAAGGGAAAAAGTTCTTTAAAAAAAATCTTCAAAGCTCCTTATAATTATCCAACAATATTTGTGAGAGGATAAGTTGTCTCTTATCAGTCATCATTCACAAGATTAACTTTCATATACACTCAGTTGGAGTCCACTGCTAAAATACTGTTTCTATCTTCAATAAATATGATGAGTCTCAGTTGACTCTACACAAATTTCATAAAGATTTGATCAGTGACCATTTCTCCTAAACCAACGCTCTCCTTCTGTCCCATCTTCTCCCTCTTATACCCTTGATACTGTTTCTGTTTATTAACACCACAATTTGATTATGCAAAATTCTGTAAAGACCAAAATAAACTGATACCCACCATCTGATATTTTGATGCTAGCTTCACATGTCAACACCCAAAATGAAAGATTTTCCTTTTTGCCAATGGTAACTAGTGATGTGTTCCGAGATATAACTCAAACAGAATGGAAGGAACAGCAAAAGTCAACAATGAAGTGATAATTCCAACTGTGAGTAATTGAGAAGAGGTAGTACCTTACTGACTTGTTAAAAGCATCCGGATTCGTTGCAAGGAACTTCATGGTTTTAGCTACTGATTCAACATCATCAAGCTCTTTAATATGCAAAACTGAACCAGGAGAAGGTGCAAAATCTTGGATATTTGGGGCACCAACCACAACAGGGATGGCTCCTGCAGAAGTTGGTGTCAACAACTATGTACAAGAATAGCAACAGAACGACAATCATGCTCCAATCAAGGACTCTTCGGTCTTCACATATGATGCCTAAAGAATTGTTCTGATGGCACATGTTGTCATGGGTCCAAATATACCATGCTAAGAAGATAATGGTGTGTCATGCCAATCAACATAAAAACTCCAACAACTAAACAAGGAAATAGCCATACCTGCAACAAGGGACTGAAAGAATTTTTCTGTAACATAGTCCTCCTCATTGGAATTCTCAAATGCAAAACTGAATTTGTAGCGCTTCAAAGCTTCTACTTTGTCCACTATAACGATAAAAAAAAAATGTATACAGACAATGCTTCTTAGAGGAAAAAAAATTGTGACAGAAACACTTCAAGAATGAACAGACTCTATAATTCACAACATTATTTATACTCACATTGTAATCTGTACCAAGATAAACTTCAAAAACAAGTACCACAAACAATAGAAACACTTCAAGAATGAACAGGCTCTATAAGTCACAACATTATTTATACCAAAAAGAGGAAAACAACACAAGCTTTACAGGTTGGTTTCACGTTGAAAGCAAATGGTAAAATTTTGACAGTATAGATTGAGCCTTGCTCTCAGGATTTCAATATTTTTCATAGCTGACAGCATATAGATGGGAGAAGGTTTGCAGTAGGAAGACAGAACATCGATTATATTCCAATTCAATTGTTTTTATTTTATGATAAATGTAATCTGGAAGAGTCTAAGCTTTGTTTGTAGAGTGTAAAGGAAGCAGGAGGAGGAGGTGGAGAAACGAACAAGGAGATGCAGAAGAAGGAAAAGAAGCATAAGAAAACACAGAAGTAGAAGAAACAGTGGGAGGAGAAGAGCATAGGGAGAAGCAGGAACATGAAAAGGTAATGCAAAATGAGAAGGTAGAAGAGAAGAAAAAGGAGAAGGAAAAGAAGAAGAAGGAGAATAATAGCAGAAGAATAAGGAGCAAAAGATGTTAGGACTCAAAACTTCTAAAAGTAGTCTAGCCTCGAAAAATAATATCCTAACATTAGCATTTCAATAAGGAGAAAAATTTTTAACATACCTTTACCATCTCGATTTTGGTGGCATACACCATAAGAATCAATTTTAATACCTAGCTTCTCAAGCATTTCAAGAGCCTGTAGACGGAAATTATGGGCAACACAGTTAGAAATAAAGGCAGCTGCAAGGGCAGTTTCATTCTTTGGTTGGATAGGAGCCATGATATCATATTCTGCCCACGAGAAGTACCCAACTGGAACATCTGACGAAAGACTAGTAGTCATTAGGATGTTGTACCCTCTCCTGTAGCAAAAGAAACAAGAAAATCAGTTTCACATTAAGAACTATAATCTAAAAAGTTCAAAATTCAAGGAAAGTCTAACTTTCAGTCTTATTATATCCAAACCAGTGTCTGCCGTACCGAAGTATACCGGCCGTACCGGTCCGCCAGGTACGCGATACGTGGATCGCCCTGTACCGCTACAGTGCTACAGTATTACACTGTAGCACTGCTACAGTATCGGCACACCAGGGTGTACCGCTCGGTATGTCCTGGTGTACCGCCCGGTACACCGGTACCGTACCGTACCAAGCCCGGGTCAAAACTCCGGTACGGTACGATATGATGGACCTTGATCCAAACAATGTCAAATTATCAATTAACATAAAGATGTATCTGCATATGAAGCAAGAATTGGGACCTACCTCAAGCTCAAGCATATTGCAGAGCAACACTATTAACCAAAAAGATTTATGATGATAGGAAAAAGACAAAGATCAAATCAGAACTAAACCTTATTCTACATTTCCTAAATGCCTAAACGAGTACAATTAGCAATCAAGTCAGATGGGCTTTGACATTCACATATTCTCATAGGACCAAGATGCTAGGTTCAAGAAAAATTAGTAAGTTCCCAGCAAGAAATATCTGAACTTTGGCATATGATAAATATTTGATGAATTGTTCCTTTGTGATTCTAATGTTTACTTCCTCTATAATAGAGGATTTTTTGTAAGTAAAAAACTAGATCTATTCTATACAAAACAAAAGTAGCCCAAATTTTTGGTATAAAATTGAGACCAATAATTAAGCTCAATGTGGTGCTTGAGAAAACTTGTCCCCAGTATCAAATTCTCTAACATTTAAATTTAGCTAAATCTAAACCAAATGGCTAAAACCTCATAAAATAACTCAGGCCCTAGAAATCAAAAACTGACAATGGATAAACCAAGTAAATAAATAGAAGCATATATGTCACAGAAGGAAGTTGGTGACCGGCTAAGATACACGCGAACAGATACATATTGCAGCATTCAATTCTCCACAGAAAGTACATAACATTTTAACCAAATTATAGATCTTGATTCAATAAAAATTTCATAACACTATGAATGAAAAACACTCTTGACTTCCATGGGCAAATGGCTACTGAAGATACACTAACAGCAACTTAAAGCTACAAGGGTAAGCTTTGGTGTCACAGTAAGATTGCTCCTCTTTGATTTAGGTGACCAGAATCAAGCTATGGAAATTGTCTTGCTACTTGTACAGGTAAGGATGTGCATGATGACATGCAGTGCAAACAATGGACCTCCAAAATGCTGTTGACATGGTAAAACCACTAAATGTTAAAGCATAATAACACTCGGTGTTCTGGTGATCATAATGTTTGTACGTTAAGCCTCACCAACAAAAAAGAAGCAAAATGAGAAACTTTGAGATTGATAGACACTAATTTACAACAATTTTAACCAAATAAACTGAATATATTTTGATAGATAAAGTTGAGTAATTCTTTTTCAAAGATCAACCAAGAAAAAGAATATATTAATTATTAAGCAACCCAAAACAGAAAAAGGAAGCTTATAGAAAAATGAATTATGCTTACCCACCGTCGTGCCACATTAATATTGTTTTCTATATAATATTTTGATGATTCCATCGACCGATGGACAACGGCAGTTGATGGTTGTTGAGGTAGTTTAAATGTAGCATCAGGTACCCTTTTCGCTACAGATCCAAATTTACAACCAACCGAGCACGTACTCCAATCCTGAGAAAAATTGAAAAGGAAAATGGAAATTATATACAGAAGAAAACTGAAAACACAGAAAGCATGTTTGTTCTTTTTCACCTTAGATGTACTGGTTAATCCTTCAACATAACCAAAAGTATATATATTGGATAAAAGGGTATTTTTCTAGAAATGTCAATTTAACCTTTACTTGCAAAGTAAAATATATAAAGAATGCTAATAGAGTATTAAAAACAAAAGTTGGCTATGATGTCTTTTATACATTTAAAAAGGATTATTCCACTTTCTCCCAAAGAAAAGAAAAATGAACTGCAATGACAATTAGAAATTGTGCCTATCCAAACAGGTTTTGTTTTCCATTTTTAGAAAACTGTTTTTCAGCATGATTATGGAAACAAGTCTGAGAACTGCTGAAAAAATTTAAAACATTATTTATTTACATTCTTGAGAACAGTTTTAAAGAACTGAATTTTTGTTCTCAAACTTAGAACTCATACCACAAGGGACTCGAGATCAGAGAAAAAAACAAGCAATATGTTTCTCGTAAAGGACATGAATAAGGGTACAATTCAGTTCAGAACTTGAAATTAAAAGAAGGAAAGCACTCAAGAAAGTGTATTTCAATGATTTCTTATTTATAAAAAGGTTAATAGGTAAGATGAACATTAATGAAATATTACTAAATAAATCTGACCTCGTGTCCTCCAGTACTTAGTATGTTTTCTATTCTAAGAAAATGATATTTAGAGCTATTACCCCAACATGTCAATTCTGAAACCTTTTTTTTTTTTTGTTCTCATTCTTGAGAACAATTTTGAAGAAATAGTTAAAACACAACCAAACAACCTCCTAATTCCTCAAACTCGTAGGAAATAATATAACATATGTAGAAGGGGTTAAAAGGGATAACAGAAAAATAAGTCACATGTTTCCTCAAAACAAAGCAGTCAAAAAATAGTACTTCAATAACTTAGTTAAAAACTTTAATAGATAATATTATCAACAAAAGAAGATTACTATATAAAAAACAACAAAAAAAGAATTTAGACCTTCTGTCTTCTAGTATTTTTTTAATACTCATTCTTAGAAAACTGTTCTTGGACACAATTTCTCCAACAACTCAAGGAACCATTGAAACAATTTTGTTCTGGCTTTCCAGGACAGTATTACCAAAAACTGATTTTTTAAATGCAATCAAACAGGCTCTTAACTTTTTGAACTAAAAAGGACTCATATAACATACATAGAACGGATTGGAAAAGTAAAAGTGAACGACCATAGATAATTTACTGAATAAGTGAACAATGAAACAAAGATCAGAGCTTGTATCCTCTAATAAGCTCTGTGTTTTCTATTCTGAAAGAACAATCACAATCACCCTGACAAGTCTGAGAACTTCTGAACCAAAAAAAGAAAAAAACACAGTGCTTTTGTTCTCATTCTTGAAAATAATCTTAAAGATTTGATTCAAGCGCAACCAAACCAGCTTTTATCTTCTCATATTCAAAAGAATTTGTATAACATATCTAGAAGGGACTAAAGGGCATAAGAGAAAAAAGGCATGTCACATGTTTACATACGAGCACAAACAAGGACTGTGATTCAGTTGGGGCCACAAGATTTAAAGGAAAGCAGTCAAGAAATAATCCTCCAATAATTTTGCCAAAGAATTTACTAGGTAAGATGAAAAACGAATGCAAGCTTGCTACATAGGTAAACAACAAAAAAAAAGATCAGACTTTGTGTCCCCTAGTAATTTTTTTGCTCGTGTTCTTGAAAAACAGTTATTGGAGACGATAATCCACGAGTCTGGGAACTTCCGAAGCTATTTTGTTCTCATAGTTGAGAACAGTTCTCAAGAACTAAATTCTGGAACGCAACTAAACAAATTCTTGAACACAAAAGAACTCAAATTACATATGTACAAAGGCTTAAAAGAGATAAGAGAAAAAACAAGTCACGTGTTTCCTCGAGAACACAAATGAGGACTTCACGTCAGTTGGGATCTTGAAATTAAAAGGAAGGCAGTCAAGAAACAATACATAAATTAATCTTGTTAAAGAAATTTACTACGTAAGAATGAACAATGAAAGAAACCTTACTAGATAAGAAAACAACAAAAGAAAGATAAGGTTTTGTATCACTTAGAAAGCCACGAAATTATAGGGAAAAAGAAAGCACCTGATTCTCGGCGCCGGAGACGATGATGGGATAGGTAGTGAAATCTCGAGAGTACCGGATGGTGTCCTCTCTCTCCAACCAATCCTCGCATCGGCTGTACTCCCCGCCATCGTCTTCTACGGCACCGTGGGAAGACGAGGAGACGGATGCGAAGGAGTCTTCCAAGGCAACGCTGGTAGAGGGGAAATGGAAGGTGGAGGCCCAGTGGTGGACCGTGGCGACGTTCTTGACCACGTCGAGGCGGCCGAGGAAGGCGATCTCAGCTACGACGACGAGGCCAACAAACAGAGGCATCAGATTCGGCCATCGCTTCCCCGGGGTCGACGGCTGCTGCGTCCCCATCCGATGTCTCTTGCTCGAACAAGGAGGAGGCGAGCGAGAACAGAGGAGAGGGTGTTTGCTTTCGATCGATCGATCTATTCGAACGTCCTCAGGCTTGCTCTTTGGCCGGTCCCCCTCGGTACATCAAATGGGTACGGTTTTTCGAAGTTCACTTACATTGACGGTTAAAATCAATGACATATAACGAACTATATAACCTTCAAGTAAGATGGAATTAAGAGACAAATGATTAGTAAATAAATACAAATAACATATAAAAACAAAAAATTCTAATAAATTATAAAAATAATTTATTAAGTTTAAAAAATTACTAGAAATATAATAATAATATTAATAATAATATTAATAATAAATTTAACTAAACCAAATACATGAAAAAGACTGATGTGTATAAGAAGAATACTGTTTTCTTGTGTGGTGATGGAGGAAATAGTACTATTGTTTTAATTTCAATTTTTTTTGTTAAAACTTAATTATTGTTTATTTATTTCAGCAATAATAGAGTAGCAAAACGGAGTTTGACAACACTGTATGATCTCGCATCAGTATAAGAGCCCACAAGTCTACTACTTCAAACATATGAGTTGATTCAAAGGTCTTTCAATCAAAATAGTAGTGTCATAATTGGCTTGATAAATTTCATTAGCTAAATCTTGTTTTCTATAGGATCACCTTTTCGTGCTCACTAAAGATGTTGCATGACCTCTTCAACTCGCATGCCCACCTAATCGGACAAGACTTCGAGCATCCAATTCTTTTGTCTTAAAGAAGCATTTGTAGCTACAAAGATGCAATTTGTTGAAGATACAAAGAATCCAAGCAAATGAAGTGGTCGTATTCAATCTTGGTTGTGAGTAAAACCCACATCTTCTCAAGAGATGGAACACTCCTGCAACCATACAACTTCTTGTTTCCATGGAGAAGATCATTCTAGTCACTGAAGAAGTTTACACCTTATGCCTTCCAGATTGACTACCACAAACTACAGAACAATTTCTACATCTCAAGATGGAGGACATTGTTGCACCAATGAAGTAGGGCAACTGTAATACATCAACTTTTTTGGTAAAATGGTGCTGCTTCTAGCTGCAAAAAATGAAATATATCTTCTTCCCATCATGCGCAGGAAGAAACTATCATAACTTCCTTTTGGATTATCTTTTCCAATGACATATAGATGAGAGTTCAATTTACAAAGGTAAGGCCATATTACTCAATCAACTGTCTTCTTGATACACTGAGATTGTTGTTTACTGAAAACACAAAAGATTGCTAAAGGCGCTCACAAGAAAACAAGGCTGAGGCTGATATACATAATAACTAAAGGCTGATGGCTTATTATAGGTGAAACAGGAAACATGTTTCGTCAGCTGAACATTGTTCACGCACGAACTTCAGGTGTACTTGCTACTCTATGCTGACGAAGAAGCATCCAATTTGAAATCAGGATAAGCTTGTCCATCCCTATTCGACTTTGCATCTTCTTTCAGTGTAAAGAACAATCTCAAAAACAAGCATGCTTAACCTTGTGTCTACTACCATGTACCAGAAGCTTCATTCAGCATTCCCATAATTCAACTGTTCACCCGTTGATTGGCACACAGTGATGCTTCAGTCTCCACGGGCAGAAAGCCTGCACTCACCTCTGGTGTTCTGCCACTGGACCATGCATTCATTGCTTGTAGACAAGCATGTTTCTCATTAGAAGTTGATGCAAGAAGTGTTTCTCCAGATGGAACAACCTGAAAAATAACCAAAACAAAGATATCAGTTGAAACTCATCTGGACAACATCTCATTCCACCTTATACGAGAAAGAAGTCCTTGCAATGAACGAGTTCAACGCATTACTTGATCAGTGATTGGTTCATGAACCACAGCATTCCCAAGTCTTCTTTTCCTGTGTATTCTAATCGACTTCTTCCCAGCCACAAGCTCGTCAGCAATGAAGTTCTGATCTGATACTTCTGTAGGATCAAGTTTCAGTTTTCAGGCTAAATATCCAAGTGGATAAAATATGATTAACAGTAAAAATTTCGTTTTATTATTGAAATAACGTGAGCTTGAGATTTGTAGAACTAAAACTATCATTCATTTTGTATATTTTTGTCAGGGTGTCCTCACTATAGAACTGGAATCAATAAGCATTAAGCAGACAATCTGCTTTATCTTTCTCAGATGCCTTGCGAATGCATCCTTCTTTCCAAGTGCATACAGAGGGTACAAATAGAGAAGAGGTAAAATGCTCGATGATTCCATCATACATGAACTAGTTGTGAAAACTTTTGGATAGGTAACCTACATCCGAGCTGAACATTTTCTAGTGGATCCACAGGAAGCAGCAAAACAAGCATAAGTATATTATGTTTTCCTATGAGCAAACAAAAGTACTACAATGTAAATTTATGAAGACTATAAGTGGTTGAACGAAATAAAAACTTTCTCAACACAACTTATATTAATTATTAATGAGGAGGAGGGAAGAATAAATGCTCTTACCTTCAGCAATGGTTCCAACATCACCATCCATCTCATTAGGAGATCAATTATTTTCTACAAATTTTCTTTCCAAACTAGGGGGTCTTCTGTATATATATATATATATATATTTCTTACCAGAAAGAAGTGAGTGTTCCTCATAATAAATCTCCTACCATGGGGTAGACCAAAGCAGCCAAACATTAGATAATAATTGTCAAACTAAAGCATTTAATCAAAGTTGGCAAATAAGGTCCTTAGAAGTGTAAGCAAAGCATGTCTCACAGTGAAGGGTGAAAAAAAGCTGGTGGGATAAATTAAAAAGTATTTATAAATACTTAATGAAAGATTTAGCTTTCTGAGGATGAAAGTCTGGTTGTCTTTTGGTAGTTTCCTTATTAAAAACAAGACAACAAGGACAGAATGGACAAAAGTTGAAATGCAACTTTTCTAAATCATTCACCTTTAACCTAAAGGCAAACAAATATGCCTCACCTTATGCAACTTCTTTATATGAAATTTCATCCATAACTAAAGAGAAAACACCTTGATCATTTTTATTATTCTGAAAATCTTTGCAGTTTACACTTCATTAAATGGATAATGATGATTGTCTTCTCACATCAACACCAACAAACCATATAATGGTTGGTGGAAAACAAATTTAAAAATTCTGCCTTACTTGAAACAAGAACACAGAAAGAAATGGACTTGTAACAGATAGTGAACGAAAATCTAGGTGAAAAAGGAGTCGCATATCAAAAGAAGAAGATTAAAGAACCTGCACTGCTAGCAACAGAATCTTCATGACAGGTCCATTTTGAGCTTGTTGCTTCTCCATCATGCCTCACATTTGCTAGCTGGACTGATGGTCTGATGAACTCAATATCGTCAACCCCATCAGAAGACCTAACATGCCTTTTCTTCATAATGGAAGGTGACCGAAAATGTTGAATCCAAGGATTTGCATAAAAAGATAGAAAACCACTCTCAATATCTGCAGGGTTATTATCCCCATCAAATCTGCGACTCTCATGACAACTCCTACACAAGGCCTTAAACTGCAAAGTTAGATGTTATATGTCATGCCAAAAGATGAAGGGTACCATTGGGGTAAAGGAAGAAAGAGGAATCTCTTACCGTCTGACCAAATTTCGAATCATTTTCATATGGCTCACAGAATCCCTTGTGCTTTTTTATCCTTGACAACCAACCCACAAATGACTTAGAATGGTATTCTCCATTATATAACTCATTAACAAAAGATTCTTCAATGGAGTTGAGAAATAGTGTGTGTTTTTCATCTGTCCATTTATTCGATAGAGAATCCACCAAATGAGTATCCTGAAAGATTAGAACAATGCCACATTCTTAGAATATAGGAAGATACAACAATTTACAGAATGAACGTTTAAATCAGATAATGAACATGCAATGCAAGAAGGTGAATAAAACATGCAATGATGAAAATAAAGTGCATAACCTGACTGCAAGCGAATAATCAAAGCAACAAAAATAAAAGTTGCAACCTCACAGTGGAATCAATAGTAGAAAATGTCATAGTAGAAGAAGGTCAAGAAGTAATCCAAGTACTATAAGTATTGCCACCAAAAATGTATACCAGGACTCCAGGGACAGATTGAGAAAATTTCACAAACATTCGTGATCTGATCTCAACAAAAATCATTTTCCTAACTGGCTCTTTGGAAAAGAACAAAAGCTCTTGGTTTTAGTGACCTTAGTGAAGTGTAGCAGAGATTTAAGTTGCAAGTTAAGATTGATAATGATGGCCTTTTCTTGGAAAATGGTGAACATGTGGTTGTCAAAGTCTCTAGTTGCGGCAGACATGATGATTGTTGTATTTGTGGAGTTAAAAAACGTAGAGTTCCACTGATATAGATAAAAAATGTAGAGTTAAAATTGTACCATCTGATAAGTTCTAATATTGATCATTGTTAGGGCATGCAGAGCAGGGGTATAGGGGCTTATAAGTATAATTTTCATACAAAAAAGGTTTTCAGTTTTGCGTGATTACCAGTGGCACAAAAAGGATTGTTCATCTGTACACGAGGCATATTAGGCCAGGTCTATGGCTGGACAAATATGGGGATTGAGCGATGAGGATATGAGAGCAAGCCAAAGATGGGTGTAGAGTTCCACTGAAGTATTTGGTCATTCTAACAATTTGCAGATACAAAGCAAACCAAATAAATGAAACCATTAAAGAAAAGAAAACATATAATTAGGTACTTGATACTAGTAGAATTTCCATGTGTCAAAAACAAGGGAATGAGTTGTATATGTTGTTCTAAAAACTAATAGAACATGGAGAAATAAGAGTCAATAGAAAAGGCTGTTCTGTTTCACGCGTACATGCAGTGTGCTAGTAAGATTGCAACTAGTGTATTAGGTTGAAATTACTGTTTGTGTTATAAATAACAATAATAAAAGAGCTATAAGCTAATAGCATATATCCATGATCTTGGTCGGAGACATAAAAGAGAGTGAGTCAACAAGTCTTGTTGCCTTAACACCAAGTGAAAAATGCTATGGTGTGGTAGCAGCCATGTCACTAACCATGGGGCTTGAACCTCTAACAGGGCACCATTTAGGACTGAAGTGTTTGGACCATGGATCAAGTTCCGAGAACTACTTGCAAAATGGACGAGGACAAGGGGGAAGTGAACAGCAAGATGTTTTCTCAAGAGCTGCACTACCTGTCAGATGCAGACCTTCCACTCATATGAGGTGTTACCATCATTGTCCATGACCCTTCACAGATTGCAAGCGATGTGAAGGTCATGGAGGGAACCGAGAGTCAGCAGTTGCCCATGAGTGCAGTCTGTGGGTCATCCCCTGATGCCTACTGGTTCATTGCTGGTGGACCACCCTCTACTTAAAACATGGCCACCACCATTGGGCAAAAGCTCTTGCCTAAGACAACTTCCAGTTGTCCAAGGTATGCAACAAAACCCTTACCCACCCCATGTGTTGCTTTCTTAGCTTTCATCTCCCCTTGACCGACTTAGGCCTTGAAGGGACCTGCTGAAGTCCTCTCCGATAACCTGTTAGGTTTTTTGCCCCGTCTTGTAAAGCATCCACCGGCTTCCTCCCACCTTTCTTAATAAGGTCCTGGTCAGCTAAAGTATGAACAGAATCTAGGAGTTCAACACCCATCGATCATAAAAAAAGAATGTACACTTACGAAAACTGATCACAATAAAACAGAGGATGAAATAATGGGTAAAAGTCAGAAGGGAGCAAACAAGTGCATTATATTGTATTACTGGCAAGCTCCAGCATTACTGGCAAATTTATGGAGTTGAATACGTTATATTGTACTTATCCAGCAACACTGACAAAGTTTAATTTCTATTCCACTTTTGGGAGAAGATCAGAAGACTTCCTACTGAGAGAATCCTGTTAAGAGAACAATTTTACTTGTAGAGGTTACCTACTATAGTTTTCTACCTAATATATGGAGTAAAGATTCTCCCCTTCACCTTCATTTTTGTTCTATAGAAACATCCTTACAGATCTTGGACGTGATCTCACCAGAACATCCTGCAGAATTTAAGAATTGGTTCAGATAAAAAATTCTAAGATATTAACAAAACCAGACACAATGTAAACTTAATCTGATTAGATGACATCTATCTCAAGTAAACGAACCCATAAGATCACAAACAAAACCACCTTTTTTTTTACATAGTCAGCTTTCTCATTAGCAAAATCCATTTAAGCCAGCAACGCCGACGTTCGTATCACAAAGTGACCATATTTAAACAATTACCAAAGACTCTGTCCTCTCTAAGAAACTTATCTTCTTCCAAAAATTCACAATTCCAAAATTTCTTGGAAAGGAGATTGCATACACCTTTTTAATCCAAAATAAAATATCTCCTGCGCATTTTCTCATGCTTAATTATCAAAATATCTCCTTGATACCCAAGATTCCCCTCCTCTCCAACAATGATATATAAACACTAAAGAGAAGAAATAACACACAAATTAGCACTGCTGTTCAAGAAATACCCATACGATAAACCTAAAATTAACACAATCCAAAGTAATTCACACAAGCATCCACCGAGACTCGTATTTAAAGACCCTAATCCTCGGGCCGATCAAATTAGACCAAAAGGGAACCAAGAACCATAGGTACATCGTAAGCGAGAGGAAATCATCATTTACCTTGTTCGGGCCCTCTATGGTCGACATCTCTGCCGTGCTCGGCCGATTCGAAAGATCATCACCCATGAATACTGAGATCTCTTCCCAGGACGGTTTTCTTCAGCATCAACCGTGAAGAAGATAAATCTTCCTCGACCTATGCCGCCTCCTCACCGAACGGAAGAACTAAACGGAGAGTGACAGAGATTTATTTATCGCGGTTATTCTCGGTGGGGTCCGGTGGGCTTGTCCGTCGTGGCGACTGTTTGCCACGTGGAAAGGCCGTTGTCGGTCCCAATTACATGGTGGGGCCTCGCGGTATCTCTCCAGCCAGATATTTTTGCAACGGCAAAAGATCTGCCTGCCGGATCGATGACGTGGCAAGAACGGACATAAAGGGACTCTTTTACCCCCCAACAGAACAGTGTTTGGTGTTCCAATACTTCCACCAAAAACCTTTACCCGACCCACGTGGCTCTCTTCGCGGAACCAACGTGTGATGAGTCTGCCACGCGGGCACTCGATGAAGAACCGTGGGTAGAGATCCTTCGTGGCGATACTTTTCCTACCGTTCTTTCCCTCGCCAGCTCACGAATCTGCCCCATTACTGGAAGGCTCATTTCGGGCCCACGTGACCCCTTTCCAATCGTAAAGCAGGTAGTCACGGTGGCTAACAAAGTCGGGTAAGAAAACATTATTGGCCAACGGCTTTTTGTCACTTACAAGCGCAATGCTTTGAAAATTTAAAAGGGCATTGTGTTCAATTATTATTGCAGCAACGAAGCCACAAATTTAAAATAGTAATTATAATTTTGTTAACGTGAATAATAAATTAGTCCTTTAGAATCACGGGAAAACACAATTTTATGTAAATATTATCATTATTAGATATTATCTTTTGGATCTTGTTTTCCTTATAGAAAGAGGGAAGATATGGGACGGGGCACGCGGTCGGGGTCAAATGTGGGTTATTTAAGTCCGTAAGTAATGTGAATGTGGCTAACTCGAGCTCAATGTGTAGTTGACCTGTTGAAGCCCACCGTACGGCCGTTTCTTAACGAACCAGCGTCGTCGTGAGACGGAGACCCAAACCGAAACAAGACCTGTCGGTCGAAGTTTCTAGGGCTAGTGGTCGAGTACGCTACGCTCTCCTGTGATCGTGGAGAGAAACGGAGGGAGGAAGGGGAAGAAGGGAAGGGAAGGATGTGGCACGAGGCGCGGAGGTCAGAGAGGAAGGTCCACGACATGATGGACGCGGCCCGGAAGCGGGCGCAGCGGCGCGCCGTGTACCTTGCCAAGCGCCGTGGCGTTCCCCAGCAGTCGCTCCAGGTCACCGGTGCCCGCTGCCGCGTCTACCGCGACGACGGATTGTACCAGGCCGCCCAGGACCAGCAGGGATTGTGCGTAATCCGCCCTTTTCTCCATGACCGCTGCTTCTTATTCTAATTTATCCTTTGGTGTTTAAGTCTTGTAGGTTTTACACTTTCGTCGGTGAAGGTTAGATTATTACGTGATTTCTTATCTATTTGGCGTTTAAAGGTTCATCTTGACGACGTGAGCTTGGGAGACGTATGTCCGAATGATTAGGCTTGCTGTTAAGCAAGTTCTTTTGGTTGATAATGCTATTCATATCCTAAGAGGACAAGTTTCGTAGCATCTGATGTCTTTAATTGTACCGCTTTGCATTCGTCAGGAATTAGAATTTCTCCAAATCAGAAACGGTTAAAACCAATGATGTTGACATCATATTGTTAATAAGTACCTTGGTGATGCTATTAGCTCTTCCTGAAAAGTGGACCCTAAATATTAGGGAGTTGTCTTGGTGGAGTTACAGCTCATTTTTTATGTATTTTTCTTCATTGGTAATGGACACTATATGACCTACATTAATAATAGTGTCTCCTAGCACTTCCAGGATAGTTTTGTAACTTTATTCTCATATATATTGAAGATACTTTGGATCCAATCATTCTTTGATATGGTTTATCTTTGCTAAGTGATCTTTGGCATCTATGCCGATTTTCACCTCCATGCTTACTCTTGTTTTCAACTTTAGCTGCATAATTTTTTTTTTATCCTCCATGTCCGGTGATGAAGAATCACGAGTTGTAAAGTCTACACTGTAAGGATCAAAACGTGATAGCAAAACCTTCTTGGTGTTTGCCTGGTTGGAATTTCAGTGAATTGCTAAATGAAGGTTGACGTTTTCAGCTTATCGTATTGAATGGAAGAGGTGCTTATGTCTAGGCAGATTCTTATAGGAAGTCAAACTAATCTAATACTGTTCACAGTGCAAAACATGGTGACCAGTCAAGTGTCAACTGCTTTACTGGTCTCAGATAATTGGATGCTTGTTGTACTTGCTGGTCTTAGTAGTTGTGTGCCACTGTCTCTTGTAGATTGGTTGCTTTAATCTTTTCTGGGCATAGATTCCCATTTGAAATATTCTGAATCTTGTAGTTATCTTTAATCTTTCTGGCAATCTGCATCATTGTTCTTATTGCAGGATACCATGGAACGGAAAGCAAGATATCTTGATTGCCAGGTTGATTTTTGGAACTTATGCAAATCATAAAATCAATGCAGCCATTACAGAAATTTTACGCTTGCTTGGCAGATTTGATGGCCGCGCTCTTCTTGATTTTATTCGAGATTCTAGTTGCTTATCGAGTTCAGCAGAAAACTGAGGAAGAAGAAGAAGTAGAAGAGTTTGTTAATTTTGAGCGTTACCGGGATTTACTTAAGCTTCGACGTAGAGGATGTCAGTAGTTTGACTTTTTCTTCCATCTCAGTGTTTTAGGATAATTATTTTTTTCTTATTTTTTAAAATTTCTGATGTCAGATATGTTTTTGGACATGTTATGTACCATGACTAGCTAAATTATACAATATATGCTTTTGTGTAATAAAATATATGTCCACAGTTACTGATGATGAGGGATTGCAACATGTTCACCAACAGCTTGAGGCAAAGAATTCACTTCCATTTGCATTTGAAAGGTATGATTACATTTGTTTTTCCTCTTGAAGGTGCTGGTTAAGTGCTCTTGAAGTGTTTGACTTAATAGCTTGCAAAAATTATCAGTTTGTTATGCACGTGAAGGCTGCAAAATTTGAAGAGAATATGGAGCATGCTAACATATAAAGCAAAAAGAAATTTCTTGTTTGTGTCAGCTTGTTAGTGCCTTGTGTTACACCTTGTAAGGTATCTTTTTTTTTTTTTGTGTAATCCCGCCTATCAAGTTAGGCACTTGGAGATCTATAATGAATTGTTGGAATGAAATATTGTTGCCAGGAAACCTAAAATTTTGACTCCTCTCCGTCTATATCTGACAATTTTTTGCATAATCTCTATTGCTCTTATCAGGTTGCATACCTATTTATATAATTAATTATCAATTCTGTCTCTTATTGCATGATAAAACCACTTCAGTGGTGGACATGTCCTCGTGTTTTATCCTTAAGTTTCCTATGTTGGATTCTCTTAGAAATATTAGTTTTTCTCCTTTCAGTGTGACCAAGTATTTCTAACCATCACAGTGATTTCTTGGGATGTTGTGGTAGTCTTTTGAAAGCATAACGAGTAACTGAAGGCCACATTTGTGAAACTTTTCTTGATAATATATGAGGCTTCTGAGGTAATGAACTAAGAACCAACTTCATGAGTGTTTTAGTTACAGTACATGAAGACTTAAGGTCGATAGTTTTTTTCCAATGAAGCCATGCATAATCGAGGATGTATACCAAGATAATTTGTTTAGTTTGCTGAAACAAGTTCTCAGAAAAGTTTTTTATTCTTCTGAGTCACAAGTCACATGTTTTTGCTCTTGTTCAACTGATTAATTATTTGACAAAAGAGATTCTGTCTGTACAATCATACAAATTGTTTCATGTCCATGTTTTTCCCTCTCCATGAGGCTAGCAGCTAAAGTAATCCAGTTTTGGGACCAACTCGTTCATTTCTGCTGCAAACCATCTAAGTCACCTAGTTTTAGCACTTCAGCATGGAGGAATCGGATGAGTGCTTACCATGTTGCATATTCTCACTTGACAGATTTTTTGAGAATATGTTTAAATTGATCTGCTTATTGTAGTTTAGCTTTATTTGCACACAGGCCACGGTCCACACAGCTTCCAGTGAGCGAAGGTTCATACTCACAGGTCGGATTCTCCTACAAAGGGGAAGGTCATGAAGAATCTCACAATTTGGACAGTGAAAGTGAGGATGAAGATGATGATGAGGATGATGACGAAAAAGATTTCAGTAGTGATGATAGTAATGATGAGAGGATGGAAACTATTGCTAAAGAGTTTGGCATCAAGAGATACAACTGGCTTGTTTATATGGATAAAAAGGCCAAGAAGGAAGAGAAAAGGCAAAAGGAAATAATTAGAGGAGATCCTGCTATTGTAAATTCATGTTTATTTTATTGATGTGTATATCTATACATGTAGTACCAATTGAACTCATTATCTTTAATTTGCTAGAGAAAATTGAGTCGCAAGGAAAGAAGGAAGGCTTCTCAGATGGAAAGGGAAAAAGAAAGGGAAGCAGCACATCTGACAGGAAGGGCACCTCATCATGATCCTTACAGGTAAAGTCATGGTATTTACATTTTTCTTTTTTCACTTTACATAGTCATTGACAGATCTGCCTCAAAGTATTGTCAGTGTTATGTTATCTTTGATGATGGTTAACGTCCATGAACATACAGGGAGTCGCGTCGAAGTCCCACATATGAAGCTTATCCCAGGAGCAGAATGTATGCTTTAAATGCCTTATTTGTTAGAAGTTATTCCTTGGTTCTAGATTTTTTTCCTTTTAACTTTATTTCAACAGATCAAGATCCAGGTCCCGGTCATTTTCACCTTCACATTCAAGATGGCATGAACACAGTTCTCATGCTGATAATGGGCGTCGAAGCAAGTCGAAGCCTCCGAAAATTGAATATATTACAGAGTTTGGTGGTACAAACGACTTGGATCAAAAATTTGGAGGAGTCTCCCCACCATCATCTCCATTGCAAGCTGATCTATCAAACCGGTCGGGGCACTCGACCTTTAATACTTGCAAAGATAGATTGGGAACTTTTCTCTGCTGCAGCTTATTCTGATGGTCATTCTGGTTTCCTAAAGCTGCGTATATGGGGTTCAGGGTTTGGTGGAGCTTTTAATTAATGGTCATTACTTAAGGGTGGGGGTCAGTATTTGGTCAGGTTTGGGTGTTCTTTAGGTTGGGGATCTGGAGCTAAAGTTGCATTCTGGATCTGTTTTATAGCTTTGATTAACACACACGACCTATGTGTAAAACTGACTGACATGATCGCTTCAAGAGTTCCTGTTCTGGATGGATGTTAACACTTTGTTACCTGCAATGTCACTCGTTGTTTTGTATGCTTGCAGGGCATCAGGTGGTCGAGTTCTTGAGGCACTTCATGTTGATCCTGCATCTGCTATGTCTCTTGAACAGGAAAAGAATGCTAAAATGTTGAGACCACCGATCAGGTAGATTATTGTCCAGCTTATCCTATTTTAGCTGTTTAAACTTGTGGTGAACATGGTTCTTTTGACTTTAGGCTTATGCATCTCTTATCTAATACTCATGTGAAACATAAAATCAATTATTGTGGAACCGGGTATTCATGCTCAAATATGTTATTAGTTTAACAAAAATAACCATGAGGCAGTTTGCCCAGGATATTCGTGGATTAGGGTCACCACTGCTTAAATTTGGGGCTTGTCTTTTTGGTCTTTGGACTTGTCTTCTAGGTGCATAATTCTGGTATGAGGCTTATATACTCCTGACACTGGAAAATTCTGCTAACTTATCCTGGTTTGTGGCTTGGTTTTTGTTTTTGGTTTTGTGTATCTCCCTTCCAGCTGACCGTCGTCGTCGTCAACAATAGCAAAACTTAGTAAAACTCCTCTTGGGGCAGCCTCAAAAACTCAACAGGACAAAAGAAAGGAAACTCCTCAAGAACGCCTCAAACGGATTATGAGTAAACAACTGAATAAACAAAGTAAGGTTTCTGACTTAGCTGTGGTAGCAGCACTATATGGTTCTCTCTCCAGTACAGAATATTTTCATGGATAATCTGAGAATCTTTTTATTTCTGAAGTCTCGATTTAGATGCAAAATTTTGGCATGTGGCTGCTCATGTGTCTGTTCTACAGTTCGGAAAGATACTGCTGCTGAGATGGCTAAAAAGCGGGAGCAGGAAAGACAGAGGCAGGAAAAGGTTGCTGAAGCAACAAGGATAAATCACTATAGCCATCGTAGTCGAAGGAGAAGTTACAGTCCTTCTCCACCAAGGTACACAGAACTTGTTTGTGTAGTATGAATATCACATTGTAAGGTTCCATGTTTGCATTTTCTGCTGGTATGTTTGCCAATTTGCTCAGTAAGTAAAAGGGTTTTAAACTGGTGGGCTCAGAGTTCAGTCTTGCTTCTGATTTTCATTAATGATAAAACCAGAGAGGCATATTTTTAGTTACTTCTAGTTTTGTATATCCGTTATGACAACCTGTCGTTGAGTTTAACATGGGAAAAGGAACATTCTCAACCTATAGCAAGTTCTCTCTCTCTCTCTCTCTCTCTCTCTCTCTCTACGTAAAATTTGTCATGCACTTTGAACATCC